CCCCCCGATTTTCCTTCTTTTAAATGTTGTCATCTTATCGGACCTTTTCTTTAAACTACTCCCCATATATGGCAGGTCCAACTCTACTTCTTTTAGGAAAACCTTGGAGATCTGGCTTCATGAGGGACCAATTGGACCCTTCTGGTTGTATGAGTCACCATTTTATATTTATATTTTGTATTTATATATGGATTTTTTTACTTATATATTTTTTCTTTGAGTCACATTGTTTAAGTTTTTAAATCTTAACAATAAATAGATGAAGAATAAATAGTTAACTGTACTATTTTTTTTAAAAAAAATGACATGTTTATTACCTCATCCAGTTTGTCCTTGACTGCTTGCAGTTGTTCATATGTGAAAGCGTTTTCTGAAAACACATTAAGATTGTTCACTAGGATTTCCTTAGTCAAGCACAATTTCAAATCCATAGGAGAATAAAATAGAAGTTCATCAATCTGGTCCTCGTTTAGTATCTCCTCCGGGATGGCTTTATCCTTTGGGCACTCTGCTAAGAGAAAACTCATGAGTTAACCACGGTTACAGAATGTTTAGGTCTCTCCAGATTGTGTGAATAGAAGAAGGAAAACCTGCATGTTTTTCTAAACATCTTGGCAAATGTTTCTATTTATCATTTATATTTATTAAAAAAGAATCAGTAGAAAAGAAAACCCAAATTAGAAATCTTCCCAAAAATGGAGTTAAAAGGGGAGAATGCTAATAGGATGAACTGAGAAGTCCATTTTAGAAGTTTAGAAGTTTAATAGCATTTATATGCTGCCCGATCCTGTAGGACTCCATTCATTTTGAATCTGGAGTGAGGTATGCTTAAAAAAACTAGAAGCCTTATTTAATTTTGAAAGGTACCCCACACACCATTTCTCTCACCCAACATATTGCAATATGCTGTTCTGGAGTTCAGATGGAGGAGTGTGTGCAGTCTGTCCATGAAACCATAATCTAGTTTTTGAGGCATCAGGCTAGAAAGCCAGGGATTGTGAGTTCAAGTCCTGCCTCAGCCATGAAAAAAAACAGTTGGGTTATTTTGGGTCAGTCCCTCTCCCTCACCCAACCCACCTCACAGACTTGTGGGGGAAATAGGAGGAGGAAGCTGTGCTGGATATGTTTACCATCTTGAGTTATTTGTAAAAATAATAAAGGCGGGATACAATTTAAAAACTTCCTTTTTACAACCCTGCAATCCTTAATTCAGGGTAGAGTCTGGGTGACTGGATGGAGCTGAGCATTTACTGGCAGGATACAAACAAATAAATACTTTTTTTTCCTTTTAACACCTACAATTCTTTCTATCGGGATGGAGTCGCGGCGACTGAATGTTTACTGGTTGGATGCCCTTCCTGATGCCTATGCGGAGTTTGCAGCAGATATTTTCTCTTTGCGCCCGGAGAGAGAAATATCTGTCACTACCTAGGATCGAACTTACAGCCTACTAATTGCAAGGTGAGAGCTCCATCTGTAGGCCACCATACTATTCAAAACAAACAAACAAATAAATCAAAAAGAATTCCTCACACTATGAAAATGAGTGCATTTCAGGGGGATTCACAGGAAAGTTAAAAATGTCAGGACCACATGACTGAAGCCCCACCCTTCACAGGAAAAGAGTGTGGCTTCAAGCACACAGCCACGGCTGCCGTCTTGTTTTTTCATCTCATCTGCCCCTCCCAGATGCCTTCTACCTTCTGCCCACAATCTGCTGTTGCTGTATGAGAACCAGTTCTGGCACCCTATTAGGAAGCAACTCCACGTTTTACATACCAGTCTCTCGCTTTGTCCTGGAGGATTTAAGGCTTTCCCTAATACGTCCCACCTGATTTTTTGACAGATCAGAATGGAGATTGGAGTTTTTTAACCAAGGCATTAAAACATTCTGCAGAAAGAAAGAAGAACACCAGATGATGGAAAGTGCATGGTTTGAGAAATCCCATACTAATTTTGATAAACAGAGACAGGATTTTGCTCCCATTGTCAAGTGCGCCTTGGGTGACATTTGGAATTGAATTCCTGGAATAAAGGAAGGGATGCATTTTCCATCAGCCAAGGTACCTGCATTTCAACAACTGGTATTTCTATGTCCTAAAATAGAGAATTAGCTGCATCAAAATCCAAGTTGTTCACAATTTATAGATCTGAAAATTTTGCTTCACTTAATATAGGATTACAATTGGATACAGAACAATATGATTCCTTTTTTTTTTCTTTAACCCATGATCTACAGATTTCTAGCTTAACTTTAGAACTTAACTGGATGGAATGTTTTGACAGTTTATCATTAATATGAAGATTATTTTTACTTTGTTTTTTTTTTCTGTTAAAGGCAGCCAGGAGAAATTACAGGTTGACAAAAAACTACAGGAGACTTGACATCTTACAGCAATTACTGATGAACATTTGGAGAAATCTTTTTTCAGAACTGGAATGGATCTTGGAGATCATCTAGTCCAACTCTAAACTTAAGCAGAAATGGGTCCTATGCCATTTCAGACAAATGAGAGAGAGTTCTTTGTGCAACCATGTGGGTTTCTTCTTGGATTTCTTACTTTTCTTTTTCAGTGGTATTGTGCTGGACTGAGCTTTTATAATCATAATTTTCAGTTTTCCAAGCCTCTTGAGTTGTTTTTCCCTTTAGGATTTTCACTCATGGAATCCTTCCCAAGCTATCTCTAAGTTTCTCAAAATCTGACCTTTTAAAGGGTAAGACGCTAGTTTGATTATGGTTTGTTGCTTGTGTCTGCAGTATATTGAATTCAAATGTGACATGGTCATTCTCCCCCAAAGTTCCTGCAACTTCAATCCTCTCTATCATTTCTTTTCGGTTAGTAAGTCCTAGGCCCAATATGTCCTACTTCAGTCCTCTTCCTTTTGAATAACAAAATTGTCAGTTAGATTGATCAGGAACTTGTTTGGTCCCCTATGTTGCAGAGTTTAAATTTTTAATTAAAATTTAAATTAATTAAAATAATTTTAATTCTAATTTTAATACCATTAATTCTGAGATTGCTAGTTTACCAGTTCCTAGCCTGTGACAAAAGACTGCTTTGAAGTTGACATTCACAGATTTCTATTGAAAATGGTGCAATTGGAAATGATTCAGATTCAAAAGATGAGCAGCTTTGTAGCTCAGTCATGGATATCTGAAACATATTGATTCTACCTCCAAGCTCATTTGGGTTTTTTGACTTCCTTTCTCCTGGTGGAAAAGCAATCTTTTTTCTGTTTGGTTTTTTTTCTAATGTACCTTAGGAATACTTTGCAGAATACTGGGACCCAGGATTAGAATCAGTTGACTCAGTTGATCCAAAACAGAAGGTGTCCATGTAGAAGGAGGCCTAGGAGAAAAATGATGTCAACAAGCCACTTCTGACTGTAACAGCAAGTTCATTCGGTAGTATTCCTCAAGCATATCTAACAAGATTATAAAGAAGAACTGAAAAAGGCCATTCAAAAACAAAAAAAATAACAAAACTCCTGGTCCAGATGGGCTTCCGTCGGAAATATACAAAAAACTTCAAAACGTCGTAGAAGATAAATTATTAGAACTATTCAATGAGGCATTACAAAATGGTAAGGTCCCAAAATCATGGGAGGAAGCTTATATCACCCTAATACCAAAGGAAGAGGCGGATAGTAGCAAGATTCAGAACTATAGACCCATATCTCTGTTAAACGCAGATTACGAAATTTTTACATCAATATTGGCAGAAAGGCTAAAAATAATATTAAACCAAAGTATCCATTCGGATCAAAACGGCTTTCTTCCAAAGAGACATATTCGGTATAATACAAGAATGATAATCAATACCTTGGAATTCTACGAAACAAGATCCGAGAAACAAGTAGCTTTAATTTTTGTTGATGCCCAGAAAGCCTTTGACAATTTAGATTNTATAATTAGTAAAAGTACACTTGTTTTCTATTAATGGAGTCTCGTGGTTTTCTTTCCTAATTATTCAATGGAGGAGTGCTGACATTTCCTCACAATCTAATACTTTTTTTAATTATATTTTCATTTTAGGAGTTTCCTCATTTTTCCAGCGTTGTACAAATACAATTCTAGCTGCTGTCATAACGTGTAATATTAAATATACATTCCCTTTGTCGTATTTTTCTGGCAATGTATCTAACAAAAATATTTCTAGCTTTAAATCTATATGTTGCTTTATCGTTTTCTCAAACCATGGATGTGTTTTCGTCCACATTTTTTCTGCCTTTGGACACGCCCACCGCATATGGTAGGAGGAGCCTGGTTTCTGATTGCAATTCCGACATTTGGCTTCTTCAGTTCTGATGAGAAGCGAAACATTTTAAAGGAAAAAACTGAAAGAAGCCCAGCTGCCTTTTGGAAAAGCCTCCTTGGGACAACCTGGATGATGGAGAACCTCCATAGATGAGACCTGGGAGGGAAACTTTGCTCTCCCAAGGAAGAAGGGGGCAGAGGGCCACCACTCTTCTCCAAGCTCTCTCATGGGGATCCATGTTCACAACGGCCATGAGATTCACCCACAGCTGGCCGGCCTTGGAGAGCCCCCCCCTTAGCTGACCGCTGGGATGGTCCTGCCTTCCCCCCTGCAGCCGGGAGCCCCTCGTCGTGCGAGGGGAGACACTCACATGGTCTCCTCATCCAGCTCCTCATCGTTATAGTTGAGGTGCTCGCTCACGGAACATCGAGGCTCTGCTGCATATGTGGAGGAAACAGAAGAGGGCTGTGAGGCTCTGAGGGCCTGGGGGGGGAGATAAGACTTGGGGAGGGGGCTGGGGATCCAGCTCCCCTGTGGAAGGAGATTGGCATTAGAAGAGATTCCCCACTTGACTGACTGACTGATTCATTACCAATAGTCCTTGACTTATGTCCACAATGGAATCCAAGGCTTCTATTGCCAGTTGTAAATTGAAATCTTGCCCTGCTTTACGACCTTTCCAGCCACAGTTATTAAGTGAATCACTGCAGCTGTCAAAATTGGTAACAAGGTTGCTAAGTGGGCCTGGCTTTTAACCGTTGACTTTGCTTGTCAGAAGGTCGCAAAAGGGAGAGAAAAGAAAGATAGGAAGAGAAGGATAGGAGTGAAGGTAAGGAGGGAAGATGAGGAGGATAAGGAGGAGTGGAATGAAGAGGGAGGAGAAGGAGAAAGGAAGGGGAAGGAGAGCAGGAAAGGATGATGGAGGGAAGAAAGGATGTAGAAGAGTGGGAAACAGAGAAGAAAGATA